ACGTTGTAAAACAAGCCAATTCACTTCGTGAACTCGGCAACCAGGTTACCGGGGTTTTTTACCTCGGGTGTTTTTTCTTTGGCGGTAGCCATCATGGTGGTCGAGTAGATCATGTTGTGCGGGTTGGAGAAGCCTCACCCCGCGCAAGGGGGATGATCGCACCACGTTGTGTTAAAATGGTCAAGCACCCTCGAGGCAGTTACACAGTGCTTACAACTGTCTCAGGAAGTGAAAGCACCGGAAAATAAATAAGTCATACGCAGCTGTCATCCGTATGCAAGGAAGTGAGCACACGATGCCGAACACCCTTAGCAGGATGCAGCGCACCCTTCATGCGACTCGCCGAATACCTCACGGCGCTTCGCGCTTGGTGATGCGAGAGCCTGGTCCGGTGAGAACCCGGCGTGCTCTGTCCCGGCTTTGTAGGGATGAGAAGTCGATGGCCTAACGACTACGACATGCTGAGTACACCCCCCCCTGCCTCCCCCCCCATGAACATATGTTCGCCCTTCCCATCCCCGCGCCCCCCCCCCGTTGGGTATCCATAGTACCGATGCTTACCCGGTGATGACAAAAAAGACTAACGTCGCCAGTTCCGAACCCAGCTGCTCCAGCCACACCAACTGCCCAAAAAACACGTAATATCGAGGGAAATCAGTACACCAAACGTTGTTGTTGGTGCTGTGTGGGTCGTTGAATTTCAATGAAAAATATGAAATAACGCACGGAAAAGAAACAGCTCGTGCGAGTGGGCGAACGCGTGCGCGAGAGAGCGAGAGGGAGGGGTTAGGGCGGAGGGAGAGCACACCAATTGGTCGAGCTTGGCAAAAAATCAACAGTCCCGACGAGGACAGAAGCCAATCAACGAGCCAGTTGGCCAAAGTGCTGCGACCTTCTTGCTTCCTCCTTGTTCGCGAAGCACCTTCACGGTCGTTATCTCCCGTTGCGCCGACACAGGACACATATTTTGGCCCCGGAGAATGACTCCCAGCCACTTTTTCGCACATGAAACGGGTAGCAACTATCTGGTTGCCCTCTTCGAGGGTGGGGGTGTGCCATGATCCCAACTGCGACGGAAAATACCATGTTTCTTGCTGCTCCACCTCTCTCCGTTCTTACCTCGAAGGGCAGCATCGCGGAGAACAAGACCAGAATTATCCGCGTGAAGTAGATGTACCCCAAAACCTGC